GATTATGCTTTCTGAATCTTGTCTGTAGTTACAAAATATAAAGCTCAACAAATTTCCTTAGAGGTTGTTTGGGTGAGGGTTTTGGATGAGCGATTTCTTCCAAATCCCTCATTCTACCGAATTTAACTACATTCATTTGTTTGGAAAGTCATAAAAAAAATCAGAGATTTTTCACCTGCCGGATATAGTAAACAAACATATGTAGGATTTGAAAATAGCTGAACTCATTCAGCTATTTTCAAATTCGTCATTATTTTCCTATACTTCCATCTATAATCCTCAAACATAAATGTTCTTCCATCTCTTCCCCAACAGTCAATCTGCCGTCGATCACCACTATTAGAGCTGGGAACACCGCTGGAAAAGACAACATTAAAGCTTGGAACGCCATGGATTAGCGAGGGAGCAGGAGACTAAATAAGAAGTAGGAGGCTGCTTGATTTCTTGATATTGGCGCAAATGTCTGAGGCTCGCGCGGTCGCTGGGGAAACAATCTATCTATTTAGAGTTTTTGAGTCTGGGCGTTTTGGAGAAAGAAAAACCAAAGGGATGAGGGAGATGAAGGGGTAAATTAGTCTTTCTATAATTAGGGTACAAATCCTAGATGTTTAAACAAACAAGTGAATTGGCTCAAATAACTCATTTAAATTACACTACAAGAAACTCGATCTACAGAGACAAATAATCAGACGCAATTATTGTTTTAGTCTCCATAACTAACTCTTTGAAGCAAAAATATTATTTGTCTCTATATATTACTAGCTTTTTACCGGCCCGTTGGCCGGAGAGATTTATTCTATAATTTATATGTTTAAATCATTTTGGATCTTCTAAATATTTTGTAACAGAGTTTGTAGTATGTCTATATTGAAATTTCTAATATTTAGCACACTCACTTGTGATGCTTCGGTTTTCTAATAATAAATTATGCCGTTGTCACGTCCCATTTAGAATTAATGTCAAAATTTGTCAACCAAAACACAAATATTTAGCGTACGCCAACCTGAACCACACACACATATATATAGTTCAAGCTAGCGTGCGCCAGGAGTACGCTATACTCTTGCGTTCATACGCCCATTAAGTTTTACTATTTAGACCCGAATCAACCGGAGTTTTTTGGGGTATGATACTATACTCTAACATCTAATAGGTGAACTCCAGTCCCTAATTCTGTAACCTCTAATTTATGCACATATTTACATATCTTCTATCGTATCTTGAGTAAAATAAAAAGCATAGTATACCTTGATATTATATGTGTGTGTGTATTAGACTTAAAATTATCTAGATATCTCGCTTTTACCCTCATAACGCCAGATAACCATTGGGGTTGTCTATCGTTCGACATGTAATATATAAAGAGACAAATACTAAGATCCTACTATTAATTTCTTATCCTCTCCCGCCGCCCCTTTTATGGAGAATAAAAGGGTAGGGATGACAGCATCATAGCTCGATATGGTTTTATTATGTTCATCGTATCGGAGGTTATGTTTTTTTTTTTTTTTTTTTGCTTCTTTTCATTCTACTTTAGCACCTATGGTTGTGATCAGAGGTATTTAGCCCCCGAAAGGGATTGGGATTTTAGGTCCTTAGGAAATCCAATACACATTCATGATCCTCGAGTTTGGACAAACTCTCGACCAATGTTGTAAAGATTATTACTTTTTAGTGAGAAATTCTTAGTAAAAATACTTCATTATTGGATTTATTCATCCATATTGAAACTTGACACACACCGTAGCCCTCATGATGACTAAATTCTCTAATCTCGACTCATTTTCATTTTGGATGTTTTTTTTATCCAGACACTTAAATTTAGTATATTATATAGTATGTATCAATTGTTAATTCTTGAAGTTTATACTAAACCACAACCGGTGGTCATTGTTTATATGTTGGCTTAGAATCTCAATTTAAGGCAATCACACACACTATCGAGGATTTTGGTCTTAACATGGTCGCTGAATGTATAATTTTCAAAGATTTTATCACTTATATATTAATAATTGATAAAGAGTGTCTCCAATACACACATATTTCAAGTGCATTTAAAATGTCTTATTATTTGAACAATATCAGTGAATTTCATTTGATTATTTGCATTAACTTATTATCTTATACAACATATATCAGTTCATGTTTCTCGAGTTTGGACGAACTCACAACCAATTTTGAGAGTTGAGATTATTGGATAAAGATACTTGATTGCTGGATAAGTATGTTTATCCCAATTGACTAGCTTACTAAAAATTGTCAACCTTTATTTGGTAAATGCTTATGTTAGTAGTTGATGAAACGTGATGTTTATCGTAGATTCTCAACAAAGATTTTTCTAACTTTCACATTTATTATTTTTCAAGGAATCTTGTGTCTCATCCTAGGGTATGAAGTCAAAGTTCGTCAACAATCATACTTAAGTCATTTTGAAAATGTTGATTTATAATCGTCGAAGATAGCTCCAAGTCTGAAAAAAAATTTCTTAACATACAACATAGAACCTCAATAGAGCTTGCTCAATCAACATGATATAGAACAAATATTATTAATGTGAACTTATGACATATTATCAAATTATTGCACATGCAATTCCTATTCATTTGAGGAATTTAAGGTAGAACATGTTCTGAATGAATAAGAAGTTTTTTTAAATAAATAACTGTAACTACTCGATCAAGATTATAGTCTGACATTTTCTAAATAATACTTGTTTTATTTTATAGATATATAGTGTACGAATAAGAAAGTGTTTCATTTCAACAAAATATAAAGTAATATAGTTTATTTTTCAAAGGTAATTGAATGTCAAATGTTTATTTTCTCTCTTTTCATATATATTTTGGTTTATTCGATTAAAAAATAATTGTTTATGTGTATGTTTGTTTAATTTTTTCATCAGCATATAACTTATCATTCAATTTTAGTAAAAATGAGTAGAAAATTTACTTCATAAGGTTTAATCAGATATTTTTTATTTAAACAAATGTGATATATGTCACTCTCTGTTTTCTTATTTATATTTTGTTTATTTAACAAAAAATTATTATTTATGTGTGTTTGGTTAAGTTTATCAACATGTAACTTATTATTAAAGACAAAAAAGAATAAATGGATAAATAAAAAAGAATAATTGGATAAAAGAAATAGAAATATTAAAGAAGAGAGAGATAGCTCCATAAATACATTAATAACTAATTTTTGTTTGTAAAAAAGTTGTCCAACTTGGCAAATTGTGGATCCTCCAAGTGCTTATGGCAACAATTTTTTTTTGAATTGTCATAATATATAGTATAGATTGTATTTATCTCTATTTCATCATATTATTTGTCTCTATATGTTATTGTATTTGTCTCGAATTCCATTAATAGAGGCAAATACTATTTGTATCTGTATTTGTCTCCAAAAGGAATCCGAGACAGAGGCATATGATTCAAATGATATATTTGCATCGAAAGACATATAGAAGCAAATAAGAGACATTTAGATGCAAATAAACTCTCTCTCCGAAGCCTAGTTTTCTTGTAGTGTTACGTAATCAAATGTTCTATTTTCTTAATGTGATTTCATCATTAGACCATAAACTCTTTATCATGTGATTTCATCATTAGACCATAAACTCTTTATCATTAGACCACATAGTGACCACACAGTATGAAAATTTTGTGTAAAACTATTCTATAACAGTTATGAAATTAAAAGTACGAAAGATTTGTGACGCACTATTCTATAATAGTTATGTAATTACAAATATATTATAAAAATCTCTCAGTTTCATCATAAACTCTATATCATTAGATCAAATATATAATAAAAAGCTCCCAGTTTCATCATAAACTCTTTATCATTCGATCACATAGTACGAAAGGTTCGTTTAGTATACTATTCTACAACTATTACGTAGTAGAAAGCAACTATTATGTAATTATTACACATATGTTAATCAAGCTCCCAAATTCACCATTATTTATATAATATAATTTGCATTACAATAAGGTTTTGTAAGGAGAGTTGTTTTTACATAACAATTTGATCAAATTTGATACTTTTCTTAACTTGACTTTATTATCAAACCACATATTACAAAATATTTATGTACTATAAAATTTATGCAATCACAAATATATTTTATAAAGCTCCCAAATTAAACATAAACTCTTTATTATTTGTGTTACACTTAGGTTTGTATGGTCCGTGGTTTTATACATAATAATTGTTTGGTCAATTACAATATTTTGTTAAATTAATCTTATTATTAGATAAAAAAATATGAAAGATATGTATAACACTAGACTATGACAGTTATTTAATTACAAATATATTATATAAAACTTCTGAAGAGGTAATTATTCCTTACATATCACTTAGAAAAACATATTGCAATTATTCTCTAACTAAATTTTTTTATTAACTAAAAAATTTATCATCTTATCAATTTGCAATACATAAATGTTAAGCAAGGTAAGTTATTCTTTTACATAACATACATTGTAAATCTTATGGAGGATTTTTTTTATACCACGTAAACAAACATATGGTTTACGTATTTCGTGACGATTAAAAAGTATAATTAGTTTCTTATTGCATCGAATCACGGCAAAAAAACTAGTCATGTTTAAATAAAAAATGTTTGTGCAAGCAAGGCTACCAAATTAGTAAGAGTTATCTATAGTAGAGGTACATTACCGATACTTATATCTTCCGTCTCAAATAAATCAGTTTAGAATTTTTTCTTTCCGTCATTCCGATACATTGAGGATTCTTTGAAGAAACATCATAATTGAAAATTGAAACTCAAGCACAATGAATTTATAACTGAACTTTATTAGATAAGACAAGTATCAAATGTGTAATTCAAATGAGATAACAATCCAAGTATATCTAAAACTCAATTTGTTCCAAAAGGGTACATCTATACATGTGAAATCATATTGAAGCAGAATCCGTCAACACAACACAGCCATCCCCATTGAACTTGTTTTTTCCTCGGCCCCCTCAGATCAGAAGGTATCAGGAGAAGGAGCAATTGCAGCAACAGTAGTACCATCATCCGCAAAAGTAAAAGCAGGGGAAAACAGAGGAGAACCAACTGGGGCTCCAATGGCACCATTTCCTTCTTCAGCAGTTCCCATAGCACCACCGTCGATTGCAGCACTTGAACTCTTGGGCTGATTGTACAATATGCGACGAGGAGCACCATTCCCCGTGTTGCAGATATCATGCAAGTTCATTCCTGCGCGCACCATTGTGATATTTTCAGCGTCTGGTTAATTTAGAACATAGCAGGAAGTTGTTCATAGTTGAGTAATTATGTACAAAATATTTTACCTTCAGCTTGAGCCAAGTTGGAGTAGAGATCGAGGATGTTGGGGCAGTAGCTGAAGCAGGGCTGGGAGCAGAGCTTGGCAACGAAGTTTGGGGAGAGGAGGTAATCAGAAGAGATCCCTACGGCCTTTCTGTCAAGGCCGCAGTCGTTGATGCATGCTTCTGTCTCGATCCATCCGCTCATCGTCTCCATCACCACTTCCGATGTCTTGCATTGGTACTTCACCATCCTCTTCCTGGCCAAGTAGTTCTCCAGCACGCATCTCTTCCCTGCGTCGGAGATGGAGTAGGCGCACAGCTCTACTGGCAGCTCCTCGCACATCATATCGCCGAGGGCTCCATTAAGGATCAGAAGGGAAGACAGAGTGAAAAAAGCGATCATCTTCAGCAAGGAGGCAGCCATGTTTAGTTGTTTCTGGTTACTGTAGTGTGTATTGGTAATGGTGAAGGACTGAAGAATGTATGTATTAGAAGGAAAGGAGGAAGGTAGGATGATGGAATGTAGAGAGATGTGGATGTGTATATATAGCTGGGCTGGGCTGGGAGAGGAAACAATTTAGTTACTGGTCAAACTATGTATGTAATGTAAGTAACGGCCGACTCCATTCCCAGCTATAGAAAATGTAGAGGAAAAATTCATATATGAACATAGATAGATGAGAAAGGGAAAGGAATGAGATGGCAGTTGGGTTTTTGGCCGGATACAGGCTTTCATTTTCTTTTTCTCGTTTTGCTCTTTTCGTTTCTGTTCTGGATCGATTAGGGTGGCGGATCTTTTAAGGCCGTATTGTTCGCATCACTTGCCATATGACATCTCTAGCTCTCTCGTGAATATCATCATCAGGCATCAGCTGGCTAGCATACATGCGTTATATTTGTGAAGACGTATAAGGGACAAACAGGGCTGCCACGATGGCAACACTACGGGTGGACACGTGGCATTGGGCATTAGACTCGTCAATCGGTAATGGACAGATTTGTTTTCTGTGTTTGCTGAGACTCTTAAGGGTTGTTTTCAGGAGAGTTTGCGGGTGATGGTTCACTTAATTAGCTCTGGAGCAAACGTTACGTTCTGCTTGCAGGAGAGGAACCTTGCCGCTCTAGATTCGCACCCATGGCATCAAACTGTCTGATACGGTATTCATTCTTCGGGTATTACTAAGCAGACTTCTTTTAATCTCTCTTCATTTCGTAAATGACAGATTACTGATTGTTGTTATCAACGGCAGTTGCTTGCATACAACATCTCGTAAACAACAATTTTTATAGCTCAGCCGCTTAGGGCATTCCAGTCCAGATGAACTAGCTGTATGTTTAGGACCAATGTAAAGCAAAGCTCCATCCAACACAACAGTGTGAAAAGTTAATATCTTAACAAAATAGTTAACAGCGATGATATGGGAACGGCGGCAAAGACAGCAGAAGGAAAGGAAGACACATCAAGTTGTTGGAGGAGGTACGTAGTAACATAGTTAACATCGTCGAATGACAGCCAAAACAGAATTCCAGGACCATAATAAGCGACATGAACAGACGAGACACAGAGTAGCATATGCTGTCAAATCATGATGTTCACCGCCAATCAGACTGGTAAATCTCTCCAGTATAGTTTGACAAGCCACGGATAATATCATATATGGGAACTTTCTGCTCAACTCCCCCGGCCAGCCACGTACCACATTCATTTCAGCAGCCCTGAGTTCAACAAACATGGGTGCGGCAGAGAAAAGGAAGCGGTACATCCAACCCAAAATGAAACTTATATCCTAACTCCATACTAACTGCGAAATCCAGTCCTCTGAGCAAAAGATAAAAACAGAAACAGGGGAAACCCTTGGACCTCCTAATAACAGAGTGCCAATTCAAGAATGACATAGGATCAAATGCCCCTCGTGCTTACTAGTTCCAGGAAGATAGAAAATGGCATCAGGCAGATTGAACTTCACCCTGCGCAGCAGCTTCTGTCGTTGTCAGACTTGGGGAGTCTACCAAGGTTTGATTCAAATTTTTTAAGCCTGGTAGATATTTCCAGCAACGTTTATGAACTCCGCTAATCTTCTTGGCAGCTGCGACTGGTAATCCTGTATTATTAATTTACCCGTGAGATAAACATCTGATAAAAAGGTTATCTAAAAGTAGCAGCTCACAGTATAATTGTGCAACAGGTGGTCTTTAACATGGCTAACAATGTTGCTGCATTGCCCAATGCACAAGAATATCACTAGATAAACCTATTGGTTCTTGCGAACAAGGGCTTGGTGCATTGGTAATACCACTGCTCTTGAACCTGGAGGTCACAGATTCGGCTGGAGGTCATAGATAAACCTATAGCTCATTTCCTTTCAGCTCCACTTCTAATCATTAATATCAAGGAAGCTATCATCAGAAACTGAGTATGCCAACTCTACATGACTTGGCTTATTTTGACTTCAGCAGTACGTTTGGTTCACATGTATTGGAGCCTGCTCATACCATTCAAAAGCAGGAATGAGTGAACTGATGACAACCATTTTGAGGCCTAATCAATGTTCTGATCTCTAATGTAGTATGTTCTAAGGACAGCTATATCAGTATAACTAGCAATAGCATCCACACTTAGACCTCACAACTTCAAAACTGAACAGACTAAAAGGGCGAAATAGCCTATAAATACTAATCACTATCCATGTTAATTACCAACCCTGTTTAACAGCATCAACTTAAAACAGACTATGATTTGTTTCAACATTTGTTTTATTAGTTCTGACCACCATTGCACCCCTCGGGGAATTATAACACTAAACCCCCTCAAAAGAAATCAGGGAACCAACCCACCAATACTCAACCAAAAATGGCATCCACATAGAGTAATGAAAAGGCTGAAAGTTCAGTCAACACTAACCGTCTTTGTAGGCAATCCCCCATGCCTTGCCATGTCTACCGTCCTGCAAACGACCAACCAACATCAAAACCCTAAACCCATATCAACGAGAACCACATAACCTTAAACGCTATCAATACAGGATTTCCTCCCTGCCCTCTCCACTTTCGACAAATCTATCATCTAAACCACAGAAATAGATATCAAAATGAATTAAAAGAGGGGAACAAACAGAAAAGAAACCTTGTATAGGTTGATCTTGGTGATCTCATAAGAGACACTGGTCCAATGAGATTTGGCCAAGTGGTAACCGAGACCCCAATTGGGCAAAAATTGAGCGACCTCGAATAGGTTTTTCTTCTTACGTCGCTTCGATTTCTTGGAAGGGGTGGTAGTGGCAGATGGGGTTTGAGCCGAAGACGGAGCCGAATTCGATGAAGTGCTGAAGTTTCTTAGCAAATTGAAAGAGTAGCGCAAGAAATTTAGGGTTTGATTTGAGGACGAGGCTCTGTTGGCCAAGCTAGTCGCCATTTTCAGCTCCACGGGTGGCCAGTGTTTTCGCAGGTTGGACGGGAAGCAAGACGCTGGGTTTCGGTGCGTTTGGATGTTGTTCTTATTTACTAAAATCCAGTTTGCTAAAGAGAAGAAAGAACCCTAGTCAGGAAAGTGCCTCGGTTGGGGAAAGGAAAAGAGAAACCGACCACATTAGGAAAAAAAAAACAAAATAAGTGTTTCACGTGGTACATACTATCATACTACATATGCTTCGGTTCGGTTAACAAAACTGAAAACGTAGTAGGCATTGAAATTTGCAATGTTGTCAGAACCGAATTGGAGGATGACTCGATAATGCGAACGGCTCGCACTTTAGTGGTCCAACCGGCAATAGATCGTTTAAAAATCGTTAGAGAACCGGTACTTAATAAACGCTATCAATATAAATAGTGGACATTTCTTAATCAGAACTCATCTCTTTCCTTCGAAATTGTGAAATGGAAATAAGGATTCAGTTTAAGAGCCCGACGTTTTTGGTTTATTTCAATTTTCTGCAATTTTTTAATTAAATTTAACGGCTGACTGGCAAAAATCGGACGAGCGGCTCGAGCGATTAACCGCCTTGGCCGCTCGCCAACCGCTACATAAAACCGGAGCGGCTTTTAGACTGTTCCGAGCCGATTTTGTGACCGGGTGGCGGTTCTACCGGTCGGACCGAGCGGCTCGGTTCGGCTTTAATAACACTGGAAATTTGAATAAGCTGTTTGTCTAAAACCAAAACTAAAATCGTTAAGTACTTATCAATTTTTGGATAGCCAATAAATGATTTTTTAATTGTATTAAAGTCTTATAGATTTTGATCAAGTTATCAATTTACGATTTTAACCGAAACACCAATAAACTCATGAATCGATTTAATTCCAACTAAAATCTAAAAATTCAACAAAACAACCACCCTAATAGAGACCAAAACTATGGGGACGTTAGGGGAGGATGAAAACTACGGAGGAAGGAGTGCGGGAGAGGAAGCGGTGGGAAGAGCCGGGGAAGAAGGGTTAGAATAAAGAATAGAGAAAAGTCAGAGAAGAATAGGGTTAGCAATTGAAAAAAGAGAAGAGGGGGTTGGGTTTAAGGGTTGGATTGGGTTGAGCAAGATGACATGACAGATTGAGTGACATGACTAGTCAAGTTTTACCATTTTTTGGTTAAAATTGCAATAACTAGGCGATTATATTTGTCATGTTAGCACATAACAGACTTCATTAACAGAGTTGGACGAATACTAATGGAGAGGGATCAAAGGTGAACCATTTTATTAATTAGAGTGACCAATATTGACATTAAATATTTCTAATAACTAAACATGACACTGCAATGGTTCGTAACAATTATTAATCTGCCGTGATTGAACTGAGGTCCGAACAACAACAAAAAAAGGGAGGGAATTCTCTCCCCTCTCTCCTATCGTGCGTTCACCGTACCAAGGAAAGGGGAATCCGCCTTCGTGCGCAGTGACCATTCCAGGCCATTGGCCGACATGCGCCGCCGGGACTGGGTTCAGTTGTCGAGGATGGCCTTTAAATCACCCAGATCTACTAGATGGGGGGTTGCTCTGACATCAATTTCATCCTCTTCTCTGTTTTGGGAAACAATTATGTTGGATTGAAAGATTCCAATCCGATCAAGTCAGAGATTGCTTTCCCTGAAAAGAAAGGATCGAAGAAAATCAGGCCTAAATCAAGGGGGAGCTGATCAAAGGAATCAGAGGGAGCTGATCGGAGGAATTCCAAATACCTTCCATCCCTGAATCAATTCAAAAGACAGAAGCTTCAACGGCTAGTTTGAAGAACTATTTAAAGGGAGAACAGGGTCTAGTTCGGTACTAAGAATTCTGGGATTCTTTGTGGAAAAGGGCAAAGGGTTGGGGAATTAATAGTGGCTTTGATCTCTACTGAGGAATAGGTTCAGTTGATCAAAGGTGTAACGAATTCCTGTGCAAATTCGGGTCTTGGTTCCATCGCTTTGATTTTCACATTTGCGTCTGTAATTTTTGTTCCTTTTCTTTCTTTCAGTTAAGAGTCAAGAAAATCAAAGTGTCTCTCGGAATAGTGTGTACTATTCCGGGACGAGGAGTAACCCTGTGGTGAACCTCGTTAAAATCTCGGTGTCATTTACTTTCTGCCCTTGCTTCTCTGTTTGCTGTCTCTTCCTCTGTTTTTCTATCTTCTCTGTTCTGGTTCGGAAGTCTCAGTGAAGAAGACGACTTCGTTCTCTTTCTTCGCTGAGTCGAGTAGTGGGCCTATTGGAAGACCGAGCCCAGCAACTCACATTAGTTGTTAACGGGCCCTTCCCTTTGCAGCCCACTCAGAACCACTAGACGAGAATGAATCAAAACGATTCGTCTGAAGTGTGGCGTTTTAACTGTTGACTTCTTCGGGTCAAAATCCCTAATTGCTCTCCTTGCTGTTGTCATTCACGAACTCATTCCCCTTTTACAAGTGGTATCAGAGCGAGCCTGGTTCTTGAAGGAGCTAACTGCTGCCAAGAACGAATCCAGAAGCAATGGGGTCAACAAACTTCGGCCAAGCATCGTACAATCATCCTCCGGTGTTCACTGGGTCAAATTACACGGCATGGAAGAAGAGAATGAAAACATTCCTGTGGGGTGTCGACGAAGATCTATGGATCGTGGTGCGCGACGGTCCACTCGCCATGGCTGATGAAGAACAAGGAATCTGGTCCGTCGCCCAAAAGAAGAGCGCCCAACTCAATCAGCGGGCCATGCACATCCTCCAATCAGCAATGGCACCTGATGAAGCGGACAAGGTGGAACATTGCGACTCGGCTCAAGAAATCTGGAACTCTCTCGAAAGCACGTACGAAGGAACGTCAAATATCAAGGAAACCAGGATCGATCTTCTGGTGCATGAGTACGAGTGCTTCGAAATGGCTCCAGGTGAGGGTATTCATGAAATGTACTCTCGATTTACAGTTCTTATAAATAAACTCAAAGGGCTAGGAAAGACTTATCTTCTTAAGGATCTAAATAGAAAAATTTTGAGGTCTCTGCCTAAACAATGGCTGCCTAAACGAACAGCGATTGAAGAAGCCAGGAATTTAAATACTCTACCTATAGATGAATTAATAGGGTCCCTGTTGAGTCATGAGCATGTTCTTAGACAAGTTAACAAGGATGAAGAGAAACGTAAGAAGAATTTAGCTTTTAAATCTCAGGTGATAGATTATGACTCAGACACTGATTTAGGTGATGAATTCAATAAAGAATTTGCTCTAATAAGCAATAAGTTTCATAGGATGCTTAAATATAAACATGATAAAAAACAGAAGGCATATGATCGTGGTGGTTCTTATCGTACTAACCCCTTTGACAAAGTCAAAAATAATTTTCACGATAGGCTGCGTACTCCGCAGACCAAGCGTGTTGAAACAGGAACAGGTGAAACACAAGATTGTTACAAATGCGGGAAGCCTGGCCACATTCGTGCAAATTGTCCTCTGACGTTAAGAGCTGAAGAAAAGGCCATGAAGGCAACTTGGAGCGATTACGAGTCAGATGAAGAGGAGGAAGAGGAGGAAGAAAGAGCACTCATGGCATTTACAGAACAGGAGACCCCTACTCAATCACTTTACAAATCTCCTGAAGATTCGCAGTGGTACCTTGATAGTGGCTGCTCGCATCACATGTCTGGTAAGAGTTACTTGTTCAATTCTCTTGCAAGAAAACGTGGGGGTAAAGTAACCTTTGGAGATGACAGTCAGGGAATTATAGTTGGTTCTGGAAATATAGGCGAAATCCCTGGACCAGTCATTAAAAATGTGTTATTAGTAGAGGGTCTAAAGCATAACCTTTTGTCTATAAGTCAGCTCTGCAGTAATGGCAATCGTGTCATTTTTGAGGATAATAAGTGCTCTGTAGAACAGGTTAACGAAAACAAAATACTTTTGACTGGTAAAAGAGTTAACAATATGTATACTGTAGATGTGTCTGATCTAAGTTTATTCAATGCCAAGTGTCTTCAAGTGTCAGCTACTGCTCCTGAACTTCTTTGGCATAAACGTCTCGGACATGTTAGTATATCCAAGCTAGCTGAGCTGTCCAAACTTAGTCTAGCAAGAGGTATACCTAGACTTAAAGATAAAACAGACTTCTTCTGCAATGCTTGCGCTGCTGGCAAGCATAAAAAGAAAAGCTTTAAGTCTAAACCTGACATCACAACTATTAGGACTTTTGAATTAATTCATATGGACCTCTTTGGACCTTGTAATGTCACTAGTCTAGGAGGCAAAAACTACGTCTATGTTTTGGTAGATGATTACTCCAGATTCACTTGGGTATATTTTCTATCTAACAAAGATGAGACCTTTGATAAATTCAAGACATTTGTTACTTTGCATCATCAAAATATAGACAGTATTCGTAGTGATAACGGGGGAGAATTTATTTCTGATGTGTTTAATGAATTTTGTGACCAGTTAGGAATTAAACACACTTTTTCTGCTCCTCGTACACCTCAGCAAAATGGAGTTGTGGAACGCAAAAATAGGACTCTTATTGAGTGTGCTAGGACTATGTTGCTAGACTATAACTTGCCTAAGTTCTTCTGGGCCGAATCTGTTAACACAGCATGTTACATCATCAATCGTGTCATTGTTAGAAAACAGATCAATAAAACGCCCTATGAAATTCTAAAAGGAAAAACTCCTAGAATATCTTATTTTCATCCCTTTGGATGCCCCTGTTTTACTCTAAACACTCGTGATCATCTAGGAAAATTCGATGCTAAGTCTGACCCTGCAACATTTCTTGGGTATTCCTCTAAGGGTCAAGCTTATAGAGTGTTTAACAAAAGAACTAGAAAAGTGGAGGAGTCAGTCCATGTGGTGTTTAATGAAACTGATCAGAGTACTCCAAATCCTGCTTTATTAATTGATTTGAGTGAACTCACGAGCTCTTGTCAAGTTTCCTCTAGTGAACTTACAGCTACTGTCAAGGAACCAAGTTCCCAAGAAATCATAGAGCAACCTGATGATGCAGCAGAGGCACCTCAAGCCCCATCCCACATCCAAAAACGACATCCAGAAAGCCAAATCATTGGAAAACTGAGTGATGGTCTGCAAACTCGAGGTAAGTACATCCCTGGACAATATGCTTTTGTCTCTCAAATTGAACCAAAAAATTATAAAGAAGCTTTAGAAGATGAAGAATGGAATTTTGCAATGATTGAGGAACTCACCCAATTTGAATATCTACATGTTTGGGATCTTGTCCCTCGTCCTCCTAATGTTATAGTTATAGGAACTAAGTGGATTTTTAGAAATAAATCAGATGAACTTGGATTTATTATAAGAAACAAAGCTAGACTTGTAGCTCAAGGGTACCTTCAAGAGGAAGGCATCGACTACGATGAGACCTTTGCCCCTGTAGCTAGAATTGAATCCATTAGGTTGCTATGTGCTTTTGCTAGTCATATGGGTTTCCCATTGTATCAAATGGATGTTAAAAGCGCATTCTTGAATGGGATCATTCAAGAAGAGGTATATGTGTCACAACCTCCTGGTTTTGTTGACTTTGAACATCCAGAACATGTTTACAAACTCAACAAGGCATTATATGGTCTCAAACAAGCTCCTAGAGCATGGTTTGAGCGCCTCACTGCCTTTTTGATTGAAAACTCTTTCACTCAAGGAGGAATAGACAAAACTCTATTCATCAAACAAATAAATGGCAAAATCCTTCTTGTGCAAATATATGTAGATGATATAGTCTTTGGGTCAACTGATCCATCTCTGTGCACTGAGTTTTGTAATTCTATGCAATCTGTTTTCGAAATGAGCATGATGGGGGAGCTCAAATTCTTCCTGGGTCTTCAGGTTAAGCAGACCCCCTCTGGAATCTTTATTAACCAGTCTAAGTATCTGCAAAATATGCTTGATAAATTTGGTTTCAATAATCTTAAATCAAGTAATACCCCAATGGCTGTGAACATTAAACTAGATAAGGATGTTTCCGGAGTACCAGTAGATGAAAAGAAATTTAGGGGTATGGTTGGCTCTCTTCTATATTTGACTGCTAGTAGACCAGATATTCATTATAGTGTGTGCATGTGTGCTCGATTCCAGTCAGCTCCTAAAGAAAGTCATCTAACTGCCATTAAGAGGATCTTTAGATATTTAAAAGGAACTCCTGAGCTAGGCTTATGGTATCCTAAACATAACAACTTTTCTCTAATTGGGTATAGTGACTCAGACTTTGCTGGCAGCCTAACTGATAGGAAAAGCACCACTGGAACATGTCAGTTTGTAGGAACTTCTTTGGTGTCTTGGTCTTGCAAAAAACAGGGTGCTGTTGCCCTCTCTACTGCTGAAGCAGAATATATTGCTGCAGGCAGTTGCTGCACGCAGCTCATTTGGCTTAAGAATCAGCTTAGAGATTATAATGTTCTTACCAAGTCCATACCTCTTCTCTGTGATAATACTAGTGCCATCTGTATGGCAAAAAATCCGGTCCAGCATTCTAGAACTAAGCATATAGAGGTTAAGTATCACTTCATTAGGGATTTAGTTCAGCAACATACCATAACTATTAGTCATATCCCCACTGAGTATCAACTAGCTGATCTATTTACCAAAGCCTTGAATGCTGATCGTTTTACTTTCCTATGTTATGAAATAAGGTTGAGATCTCCAGACAATCTGGAAGATTTGTCCTGATTGTTCGTTTGACAAGCTGTGTAGTTTTTAATTTCCCTGTTTTGTTGCATTTACTCTCTTTCTTTATTTCTTTGCTTTCCTTCTATGCATTCTTCCTGTTTTAGGTTTAGGCTTCTATTTAAGGGTAGTCTGTTCTTCTTCTTAATCATTATTTCCTTAGCTTTTCGTGTCCTGTCGAGTCTGTAGCGATGGTGCTTGGTTTCTCGAAAACCTTCACAGGAACTCTGTTCCACGACCCTATTCCTGCAAACTCCCATCGCCACTCCATCTCCTTTGCTCATCGTCCTCTGGTTCCAACCTATCATGTCCCTTTTGCTGATCTCATTGAGTACGGTCTAGACGTTACTCAATATGTTCATAGTCTAGGTTGGGATTTCCTCATTGCTGACACTCCTGAGCACATTTGTGCTGAAGGTGTGCGTTTGTTCTATTCAAACTTTCGATCTTTTGGAGTTCACACTCGCACCTTCACTACTCTGATTTTTGGGAATCTGGTCACTGTCCCTCTTGAGGATCTTAGGCGTCTCCTGAACATCCCTAGGTTTGGTGAGATCCTGGCCACTGACTCTGAATTCCCTCTTTTTAACTTTGATATTGTCCATGAGTTTGTCTTGCTCACTAGTCATGAGCCTGATGCGTATCTGACTCTGCCAGCTGCATTCTTGCTCCCTGGCCTGCGCATGTTTCATTACCTTCTGACTCGTCGCTTTCTCCCTTGCACAATCATGCTTGATCGAGTCACTCCTCTAGACCTTTGGGTCCTCACTCATGCTGTTCACAATATTCCCCTTGACTACTGTCACCTCCTGTTCGGTCATATGTATCCATTTCAACAGTTCGAGTTTCTGGGTCACCTTCCTTTTGGACCTCTCATTACTCGTCTTATCATCCGTCTTGAATCTCTCTCGATCCTTTTCGTGTCATAACTCCCAATGTCTACCTCACTTCTGATGACATCATGGACGAGATTGCGATTGCCGTTGAGGGGGAGGATGACACTGCTGAAGATAATTCTGATGACTCTGAAGATTCCGATGACGATGGACCGATGGAGGAACCTGCTGATGCTGACAATCCTGGCGAAGAAGAGTCTGACGAAGGCGAGGACGACTCTGGCATCCTTGTTCACTGGATAAGTAGTGACAGCAGTGATGGTTCAGACAGTGATGACTCTGATGACCCGTCGCTTGCGACAGTCTTGGCTGACCTCAGGGAGGCTTACAATTCTGAGTGACTTTGTTTGCTAAACCTTGAGTGGTGATTTCTTAGTTTGTTTGACTGTCTGAATTGCTAGATTGCGTTGTCTTTTTGTTGTTCCTTCTTTGATGGATTGAACTGGTTTGCTGGACGTGTTTTTCACCAGCTGTTATTCAGACTTGTTTTTTTTGGAAGTTAGTGCGGTTGAATGTTCGATATTTTATTTCCTGGGAAGAGTATAGTTGCTTTTGCAGGGTTCAATCGGACAATCAGCAATCTCTAACTTAGGGGGAGATTGTTGGATTGAAAGATTCCAATCCGATCAAGTCAGAGATTGCTTTCCCTGAAAAGAAAGGATCGAAGAAAATCAGGCCTAAATCAAGGGGGAGCTGATCAAAGGAATCAGAGGAAGCTGATCGGAGGAATTCCAAATACCTTCCATCCCTGAATCAATTCAAAAGACAGAAGCTTCAACGGCTAGTTTGAAGAACTATTTAAAGGGAGAACAGGGTCTAGTTCGGTACTAAGAATTCTGGGATTCTTTGTGGAAAAGGGCAAAGGGTTGGGGAATTAATAGTGGCTTTGATCTCTACTGAGGAATAGGTTCAGTTGATCAAAGGTGTAACGAATTCCTGTGCAAATTCGGGTCTTGGTTCCATCGCTTTGATTTTCACATTTGCGTCTGTAATTTTTGTTCCTTTTCTTTCTTTCAGTTAAGAGTCAAGAAAATCAAAGTGTCTCTCGGAATAGTGTGTACTATTCCGGGACGAGGAGTAACCCTGTGGTGAACCTCGTTAAAATCTCGGTGTCATTTACTTTCTGCCCTTGCTTCTCTGTTTGCTGTCTCTTCCTCTGTTTTTCTATCTTCTCTGTTCTGGTTCGGAAGTCTCAGTGAAGAAGACGACTTCGTTCTCTTTCTTCGCTGAGTCGAGTAGTGGGCCTATTGGAAGACCGAGCCCAGCAACTCACATTAGTTGTTAACGGGCCCTTCCCTTTGCAGCCCACTCAGAACCACTAGACGAGAATGAATCAAAACGATTCGTCTGAAGTGTGGCGTTTTAACTGTTGACTTCTTCGGGTCAAAATCCCTAATTGCTCTCCTTGCTGTTGTCATTCACGAACTCATTCCCCTTTTACAAATTATTGTGGCAGTTCATAGCATTCCGATGGCGGTTGCCATGCAATTTAATGACGATGACATCGCTGCTGGCGTAATTCGGGAGGAGCGCTCACTGATTGGCCATCTGGTGGGCCTGCCGCCGGCGTTGCACACGGTCAAGACAACTCTGACTCGGGTTTGGCGGCCGGACAAGGACTTTACGATCTCGAATGTGGACGTTGGGCTGACCCGTATTCTTTTTTCCTCGATGGCTGACATACAGAAGGCGGAAAAGGGCTCACCATGGATTTTCTCCAAGTTCATGCTGGTGGTGCGCTCGTGGGCCTCTCCGTCTTTGGCGGTGGCGGCTTCGCTACTCTGGCACCGCTCGAGGTTCAGATTTGGGGTGTTCCTTTTGAGTGCTTCACCGCCAAACTTGTCCATCGCCTTGGGTCTGCTCTAGGTGAGACCACTACACCGTTCGGATATTTCGGGAGGGCTGTACTTGAGGGCTGAACCGGTGTTCGATCTGACCGCAGAGCTTCCTGATGAGATTGTCGCTGATCATGTTGTTCCATCGAAAGGTAACTTGTATCCAAGATTAAGTTTGAGCAACTTCCTGTGTTATGTTTTCTCTATGGAATTATAAGGCATATTGGCGTAAACTGTCCTCGCAAGGCTGAACTAGAAGGAGTCCAACCTCGCTATGGGACGTTCACTGTCTCAAAGGAAACGGGTCCGCCGATTACGGGGAGGAAATGATGGCTCGGAGAAAGAATAAGTTTACTTGGCCGCGGGCGGTGTCGCAAAGACCCTCCTCTTCGCACCCTGGTGGATTCAAGTTGTCGCGTCCTTCAGCAAGTGGCATGGGGAGGACTAGGGCGGTGGGTGCTCATGGAGACTCTGTCTGTGAGGATACGCGTCGGCCAAAGCATAGCCGCATGGGGGGAAAGGATGCAGCTACTCGCTCTAACTGCATGACCAACTCTTGCTACTGAATCTCATCCACAGGAGTTGTTGAAGAATCCTATGCTGGAGGTGAACATGATCGATGCAGATGGTGGTCAGTCGACCTCCCCAACAGCAAAACACATCAAGCGAGACAAAAATATAATGGACACTACTTCAAGGGTGGAGGAAACCAGCCCTGACTGGTCCCACGTGAATCCATGAGTGTTCTAGCGTGAAATTGTCGAGGTATCGGCTCCTCCTTGACAATTCCGGCTCTAGGTGGAGTCACGGGTCGGTTTAGACCCCATGTTGTCTTCCTCACCGAAACTAGACGTGATGAGGAGTTTGTGCGAGTGAAGTTTGCAATCTTGGGTTTTCATAATTGTAGGTGTCATGATTCTGTTAGAGGGAGAGGGTCTTTAGCTGTTGCTTGATCATCTAGCACGACCTGTACAGTTCACTTCCTTTCTGATTTCCTTTGTGTCCTTAAATGTAAAGTTGTAGGTGTAGGGTCCTTTGTTCTTATGTTTGTGCATTTGTCTTGCGATACTCTCACTAGGCAGGGGCAACTTAATGAAATTTCTCTCTTAGGTCTCGTCTTTCTCTCTTCCAATATTTGTTCTGGGTGATTTTAACTGTCTCCTTGCCCTTTCTGAAAAACGTGGTGGTAATCTTTCCACTGTGGTATCCTTGGATCAATTAAATTCATTTGTGAATACAAATGGGTTAGTTGATATGGGATATCATGGATCCCCCTTCACATGGTCTAATCGACGATCAGCATCGGCGCACATCATGGAGCGATTGGATCGGTGTTTGGGCAGTGATCTTGTGCTATCCTCGTGACCGGAGCTAAAAGTAATTCATCTTACTTATCTAGGTTCTGACCACCGAATGTTATTGTTGCAGCTCACTCCACATAATCAACCAACAAGAACTCGCAACCCGGAGGTGCGTTTTTCGATGAAAACGCCACCCGAGGACGCGTTTTTCGATGAAAACCGCACCCTCAGGGTGCGATCTGTCTTTTTTTTTTTTTTTTTGCAAACCGCACCTCCAGGGTGCGATCTGTCTTTTTTTTTTTTTTTTTGAAAAATCCTAATTTAGGTGGAAACTTCAAACGAACGTATCTTTATGTTCGGGTATCCGATCGTCGCGATTTTTTTTTTGATTCCGCATAACTTTTTGAGATCTTGCAAGCCGAAGACTACCAAAGGTGGTTTGGTCTCGCCTTCGTACCAAAAAATGTCGTTTGCTACCCCGAACGAGCTTTTTTCCGATTTCGTCAAACTTTGGACAACCGTAACTTTGTGCTCCAAATCCAAACGGCATGATTTTTTTTTTATTTCGCATAACTTTTTAAGGACTATAATTTTTACTAGGAATGTATTTTCAAAACAGGAATTATTTTTGGATATACAGGATTTTGGGAATAGCTTATCTTCCCTTCTCAGCAATCCACATACATTTTGAAATTATGTCTATGATAAAAATTGTATTCCTTAAAAATTTATGTGAAATAAAAATAAATTTCATGCCGTTTGGATTTTGGAGCACAAAGTTATGGTTTTCCAAAGTTTGACGAAATCAGAAAAAAGTTCGTTCAGGGTAGCAAACGACATTTTATGGGACGAAGGCGAGACCAAACCACCTTTGGCAGTCTTCGGCTTGCAAGATCTCAAAAAGTTATGCGGAATCAAAAAAAAAATCGCGACGATCGGATACCCGAACATAAAGATACGTTCGTTTGAAGTTTCCACCTAAATTAGGATTTTTCAAAAAAAAAAAAATGCAGATCGCACCCTGGGGGTGCGGTTTGCAAAAAAAAAAAAAAAGGCAGATCGCACCCTGGTGGCGGTTTGCAAAACCGCTCCCTACCAGTGCGGTTTTCATCGAAAAACGCGCCCTCGGGTGGCGTTTTCATCGAAAAACGCACCTCCGGGTTGCGGTTTTACAAAAATGGTGCTATTTTTGGAATTTTTCGGAGTTGGGTGCTATTTTTGGAATTTTTTTTTAAACAGTGCTATTTCTGGAAAAATCTCTTAAACGTTGATTCGGAACGTTCGTGAGCTGGAGGTCACGCATAGTTGTGGAGGCGCAATTCTAGAGGAGATCCGAGTGGCCATTTCCTCCTTTTATGTTTTTTCTTGTACTTTTACTCCTCGCAAGTACAACAGGGTTGTCCATCTAGTGGCACAAAATGACCTTTTATCGGCAGTTCGATTATTTATCGACTGCCGGGTTTGGTTGTGTGTTGTTCTCTGACTATTCTTATATTCCGTCTATGCCAAAAAAAAAAAACATGACAGTGCAATTTATCCCACAAAAATTTATTCTCAAATTTGTCCCGATTAAATTGGAACTGATGGGGGAGATTTTCAGATTGTCCTAAGCTATATAAACACCAATAACATCAGCTTTCTATTGAAGCTCATTATCGGTGACAAAATCAACTTCGTATAATTACAAAGAAATAGATAAGCTACCACTTGGAAAGAGAGAGAGAGATACGCAAAGCAAGTGAATGGGGTGAACACCAACGAACTTCACTATTACTGTTACATAATCGATCCCCCACAGTGCAACTCTCGCCGGCGCCGGAACTTATGCAGAAGAGGGTATTTGCATGCAATGCAGCAGCAATAGCATCGGAGTGGCGCTTTGATTTCATTGTGAATGTGTTCTTTCCATACACAGTCCCGCCTCCATCATTTCCATATATGCCCCTCGCATTTGGAGAAGAATCAATAGATTAGCGGATTGCATAAGACACACCATCTTCGGAAAAGTAAAGTAAGTAACAATCAATCGTCGGCAAAAGTGTACATGCTCTTTCTGAACAAAACGTTGGGTTAAGAAAAATGAATGAACAACACCATTTGTATCGTCAAGTTGGGAGTTGTTCAAAAATTAGTTAATCTACCTCCTTTTTCACCATTTTTTATTTTTATACATCATTTTGAAACATATATCATGATATAGTGCAACGGTAAGTTAAGAATCTGGTCATGCTACCATAATACCTCCAAATTATGTGAATCTCTCCATGTATTCATACAAAACACAATATATTGTCGCATTATATGAATTCTCACAATCCCACCTGCAAGACACGAGTTCTTCAAATATACGAATTTGACTCGTTTGTCAAACCACCCCCAACAAATTAGACTCACTCTAACGCAAATTTATGCTTGTTTGGCCTAACCTAGAGAGTAGAGAGTGACAAAGATTTGTTTTCTTGTTCTTTTATAGGGGTGAATGGTGATATAAATTTGATTTCTTTTATTTAGTTGTTATTTTTTTTATTTAGTTTATTGTGAAGGCATGAAGGGGGATTGTTTTCCTTTTAAGGTGGACGTGCATGAACAGTGGCAAGGGTTGGGTGGCCAATGTATGAGCATGACAAGTTGCAAAAAAGGCTTCCATAGCCAAGTCACGTGGAGGAGGTATACAGAAGGCAGAAGGAAAAGAAGGACGAGAGAGATGTGGCCACTTGCTAGACCTCCTTGCACTCGATCTCACCGCCACGGCAGAAAGACTTCTAGCTGCAATGCGAGAGCACATGCGGACAACGGAGGCCACGGTGGATTCCACGGCTGGACTTGTTTGTGCCAAGAGTATTGTTCGAGTGCTTGATCGGAATTGGAAGAGGAAGCGAAAGAAAATGACGCAACTACATTGAGGGATCACAGTGGAAGTGTGCAACGTTGGTGGAGTTAACTGCAATCTTGAGGACAAGGTCGCTTTTAAAGTGAAGGGATTGCTAGAAACAATGGGATTAGGGCTCGGCCCTATTACTTTTATTGTTTAATTAGTATTATTATTATTATTATTAGTAGTGGTAGGCGGCTAAGTGTGGCCAAATGATTTAACATTAGGGTTTTCCAGTATATTTCCATATATATGTACTTTCGGGTTTACGTCAGAATTAATCAAAAAAGTATTAGTAAAGTATCTCTATCAAAACCCTAATCCATTTTCTCTCAAATTCGTCACATATCCCTAAAGGTTGTCAGCCATTCTTCTTCTCGATCCCTAAGTTCTTCTAAATTGCTAAATCCCCAATTCTGTTCTTCCCAAATCCCAATTCTCAATCATATTCGAAACCCTAAAGAATCGTAGTTCTAACAGGCAGCTTAGGGTGGTTGGGTCTAAAGTGTAAGATCATAGGGTCCTCATCAGCCGCCTTGAGGAGCTTGATCTCGTTGTCAGATTGTTCCGCTTCATGTCGGTTTGGTTCTCCAAGGTGCAATTGCCATTGTTGTAGCTTTTTTCATGGATATAATTTGGAAGTTTTGAGGGGGAGGAAGGGGTCTGTATATGTTAATGTGTGGATTGAGATGAATCCCGAAGAAAGGAAAACCACATTATGAAGGCTTGATTTTAGATCTTCAAACGGTAACCCGGTAACCCACTACAGCGAATCGAAATCGAAATCGCCTGTACTAATCAATAAGGAGTCGAAGGGTGTGGAAATAGACGAAAGTGACTATTTTTTGTTACGTTGAAACTCATATTACCTTCATGCAAAGTGAAACATTTGAAACTCATATTACCTTCATGCAAAGTGAAACATTTGTAACCGTCTCGTACAAAGGTCAAACCCGTGCGACCATTCATGCTAAGTACCTTCAGTGCTTCTCATACTAGTATGACAAGCACTAATCCACAAGAGTCTGTTTACCATGTGAATTTCTTATGGCCATAAAGTTTTTCATCTCAGGGTCATATCCAGAATAACAACTAGACGAGTTACCTAACTTCAACTAGACCGGTGCAATCAACCCAATGTTATATGTGAAATGAAGACATGAATTCCTCCATTTCATTTCCACCTCCAGTAACTTTCACATGCCAGGCCTATATCATCGATTAGCCTATAGATACAGAAACTTACTCGAAGCAGGACTAGAGCGAGATGAAGAGAGAATGCAATTCGAAAACAGAAACAAATGCTACCGACATATTACGAATAAGTGTTGTTCGATCTGTTATATGATACTGATATATCTAAATAAGCAGCAGAGACCAAACCTGGAAGAAAGAAACAACGGAGGTGAAGAATCAAAGCCGATGATTTTCGTCCAGCATGAATCATCCTTTAGTTCCAAACTCCAAAGCAATGCCCCTCGATTGATTTTCACAACATGAAACCTCCCAGCAAGCCCCACCACAGAGCAGAGGAACAACTACACGTATCTACCTTACACAAACTTGCAGTACAAGCAACGACCATCTGATGTTTATAACATTTGCAGCATAATGGATCGTGATGGTGATTATATAGTGAAGCTGGGTGATATACCTCAAGGCCAAGGCATGGAGCTAAGTTAATCAGCCATTCCCGCATGCCCTACACAGCTAGCTAGGACCCAATGTTTATACCTTTACTGAGGGGAGGAGAAAATAGGAACAAGGCAAATAGAGGTGAAGACATGGTTCCAAAACATTCCATCTGCCTGTAACATTTGTTTATCACAGGGGAGTGGATTAGCTGCATCGACTAACCAGCATTGACAGTTATAAGAATTCTAGTTCCAAGATCTACCGCTCTATGAATTTACAGAAATTCAGGAGGCGTAGAAACCTGACGGTTCGGATGCAATCATATTCATGCACATGCAACTGGTGTTCCATGCCTAGTACTAGTACCATCCAGCAATCAGTTTAATCGTAAGAATTAAAAATAGATATATAATCACAGCTGGCTGGCATTCAAGAAATATCTGAAACCACATCTGAGACAAGCAGTAGACAGAACTCAACAGAGTAATTATCAATGGTTTCTTCATTTTGATCTTCATAAAATGAGATGGGTGCAGATAGGAATGAACAAATAGGTCACCCACTGGAATTTGGGTAGGAGACGGGTGGGTCATTACGACCCTTAGAACCCTCCCAAACCCAACTGGCCTCTTGTCACCCCCTACCATACCCACACTATCCATCCAGAAGTGTATGCTTGGGTGTTTTTCGTGAGTTTGAGCTCAATAACCTCTAAACCCTCCCATTGCTCACCCCTATGCGCAAATTTTTGCTTTCCTTCGGTTGTTTTTCTCTTTACATTCTTCCTTATTGTTTCAGAATATCAGCAGTTTTCATAAGAGTTTAATGTCTTTTAAAGAAATTAGAATTAGCCAGGAGTTATTATGAGAATTGGATTTGCTTTCTTGTCAATTAAGATGGTTCTATCGTATTAGGAATTTAGGATCACATCAGACATGAAAAGAATTTTAAAAGCTTGTGCAGAAGTTATTCCTTATGATTTCATAGGCTTATCTATCCTTATATCATGAAGTGAGCTACCGTACTTTATCACCTATGGGCACTCTTCCTAACCCTATCAATCAAACCCCCTGATTTCTACTGTTTGGCATAAGCTCCAGCAGCCTTATTTCTCTTAACAAATTTACAGCAAGCTTAGGCACATCATTTCTCAACCTTGATACTGATCCTAAAACGATTTTGTTAATGAATACACTAATAGGAGATGTGCTGATAAAGCAGAAATGAAAAAGAATGAATACTGGCAATAAAAGTCTGACTACTTACATCTGACTGTTGACCCAATCTTACCACAGCAAAAAAAGATGTTCGTTCCCACTACTTTCAGTCTTTTGTTGCTGCTTCTCCCAGAAAAGACAACGGTATCGAAAAATCTATTATAAGAAAGAAATTTCACCAGAAATAGAAGACAAATCAACAAGAACACATCTTAAGAAATATGGGAGCATTATTCCAGAAATAATAAATCTAGCAGAAAATTCTCGTCTTGCAGCAACAAGTACAATGTTAGCATTATCAATAGATGTCTTGTAGAAACCTAAGTTATCAAGATTTACAGTCAGGAGTGAGTGCCGATACAGAGTATTATGGCATTGATTCGAAATAATGACGAAACCCCAATAATTCCACATCTACTAGAGCTATAATCTCCGCCTTCAGATTACCTAATCTATTGAATTTTCCCAAACTTGCATTCATGCAGGTTTTCATAACCAAAGACTACTGTTGGTAAAATAATTAACATTAAATTTGTATACAAGCCATGACAAATGGAAACACTAAACGTTTGATTTTCCCAAGAACCATGTAGAAATCATTCTAAATGCTTCAAACAGCTAAGACTCATATTCTACAACTGCAATAGTAGAGATTTTGCAGACATTCTTTGTAAGTTATCCAAGCTTTATCCATCTAGTTGCACTGTTCAAGGCTAAGCAACTACATGAAACGACATTCTTTTTCTAGACCCCACCAACCAACCCATTTCCTCGTATCAAAATCCTAATAAATATTAAAAAAATCCGGCAGCAAATGAATATTTGTTAGCACATAAATACTCAGCTAAGCAAATATATTAAAATTGATTACTGCTAAATATATAACAACAGAGCTAACAACTAAGTCTGAATTAATTCCCAGTTCAATAATAAAACTTCATAAAAGAAAACCATCAGACTTAACTGACATGGACTTCAGGTCCATGGAACCATCTTCTTAACAAGAAATCACCTGAATGGTGAAGGTCGCCCTGAGAGAAGAAAAGAGGCTGTAAAGGTCCAATCACCAAGTGCTGACCAAGACTACGTTGCCAACAATAGAACACTGAAGTTAAAGTTGTCCATATCTCAGGAAAGCACCCGCCTCATAGCTTATCTCCAGGTCCATCAGAAACGATATTTCTCGACTTGCTTATATCATCTAGTGAAGAATTATTGCTCGGCACCCTGCAATACAACAAATGAGATGAGGTAACAACTTACAATGGTTACAAGAATGACAATTGCCATACGCTAAAACTGTAAGCTTATAATAGCTTACAATTTTTGCTTCTTTGCATTCTGCTTGATTGTTGCAACCATATCCAATGCCATTGTTTGATGGCCTCTAGTTTGTGAATGCAGGTCCAGCCCTTCAACAGTCTCACAGTCGACTTTGCATATACGACACCATCCCATGCTTGATGGTTTCCTCTTTCTTAAATTGTCAAAAGAATCCAGCTCACCCTGTATAATAAAATACAACAGATTTCAGGGGTGACAATTACATTTACAAAGTAAGTAAAACATGAACGTTACTTGAACAGCTACATATATATTATCAAGTTCATGGCCACAGAAACATAAAGGTATCAGTAAAACAGCACTTAACTGTATAGTTCGCATCACCACCAGGAAAAACCTTATGGGGAAAGCTACTGCGAAACCCAGGCTCACCAAACAGGGCATGACGAAAGTTCCCAGGCGTATGTGATTCCCTCACTGGTTGATTAGGGATTGGTCCAAAACCAGCTTGTTCTGAGAATCTCAAATGAGGAGGCAGTTTATGAGCCCCAAAGTTCTCACCCCTTAAGTGGTTAGCCATACTGTCCTGGCCGATGAATTCACTAAACCTATAATGATCAGAAACTCTTAAACCCCCAGGACCATCAAACTCGTCCCTACGTGAATGGGCTGGGAGAACTGGAAACCTGTTACCTTGGAAAGATCTGCCACTTGAGCCATCAAATATCCTGCTCTCCCTACCACCAATATCATCTAGGCCATGAAGGGGGCCAAATCCACGTGATGATAGGTGATCCCTGCCAGGACTCCTTGAGTCCAAACCCTGTACATGACGTAGATGATATCCAATGTCAGGACCAAGTAAATTTGGATCAGTTCTAGCAGGGTCCTGTCTACAAAAAGGCTTGCCAGGAAAACCAATGGGACCTTCTCCAACATCACTGGGGTGCAATATAATGTCGTGATTAAATGGAGGAAAGTGTCTTGAAGGACCATGAGCACCTACTGAGTCCATTTTAAGGCCAGCATCGTAAGTTGTCCGATACGATCCATTTTCAAGTGGTCTTGGTGCGATATCACCTCTAAAACTGTGTAGACCTCGATCAACAGTCCTGGAAAAGTGACCTCCAAACTCCAAAACACCTTCAGCTTCAAAACGGGAAGGCCTGGAGAAGTGCCTGAGGTCTTCCAGCTGTCCTCGATCGACACCACGACGAGCTGGGTCTTGAGAAAAGGGGTGGAAATGATCATCTGCAGTAGGACCAAGTTTTTCATTCCGCAACCCAACGATTGAGGAAGGGCCAAATCCTGGCCCTGGAAACCCCTCCATTCCAGCTGCATTTGAGTACATTCCTACATTTAGCCTTGGAGGACCACCATGGCCCTGAGAATCAGGTGCCTGAGGACGACCATAATAATCCTGTCCACCAGGAAAGGCTGAAGCTGATCTTGGACCATGGAAGCCACTTATCTGTCCCGGCCCAGGTGGCCTAAGTTGAGTAGGATGCCCAAGGGGTGCAGGGTGTAATTCTCCAGGAGTTCCATGAAATAATGGAGGCCCAGTATGCTTATGAAGAAGAGCAGATGGACCATGCTGATTATGAAAAGTTACCTGGTCATTTGGGAAGCCAGAAGAACTTTGGGAAAGCAGATTTCCATCATGTGATTTTAAAGGCGATTTCTCATGACTGAGACCCTCTTTTAACGATGCGGTCTTCGGCATTTTATTCTCTAGTGATATAGACCTCTCTTCTTGTTTGTTATCAGCATCAGGAACATCTTTTTTACTTCCATCACCCTCTGCGGGCTCCTCCTTCACCCTCCTAACTGAAACATCCGGATTATTAGCTGCATGTAATCCCAGAGCATCCTTGGTTTCACCTATGGATTTATCATCATCGCCCTCCGACTTCAAGTTGCTTTCAGATTTAATGGTTATACCAGCTGTAGCTGCAGGGATAGACACGGTACCAGAATCTGTATTAGCATTGTCCTGAGATGATGCATCCACTTTAACACTTTCATCAGCCACCGAATCAGCTAGTCCATTGAGCATTGGCCTCAAACTAGCCCCGGATTGTTCTAGATGTGGTTTATCTGAGACTCCATGAGGAGGCACCACAGGCTTCCCTGTATGATTTTGAACCTGCTGCTTCTGCAATCCATAAGGTGATGCAGTATTCTGGTGTGTTTGTGGTCGTGGGATTTGTTGAGGCACAGCCTGAGGGTTCAATCGTGACTGTGAATACATCTGTTGCTGTGTATTAGCAATCTGCTGCGACAAATGATTCTGGCCTAAGGGCTGCCCAGAAAATTGCTGCTGGTTTTGCACAAACTGCTCATAAAATGGCTGCTGAACTGGTGGTGCTACAGGTCTCTGGTGAATTGGAAGTCCAGTTTGATGAGCCTGAGCAAGCAACGGATTCGGTTGACCAGGCAGGGTGTTTGAGACTTGACTGGATGAAGGCAAACTACCTGTTAGTTGTAGGTTCGGAGGCATACCATGAGATTGTAAAGGCCGTATCAGGAGAGGGTTTTGATGGAACTGACTCGGCGTTTGGGCAGTATGTTGGGAGTGTTGTTGTGGTACAGCTTGGGTATACATATGAGCAGGATGTTGCGGGGCGGCCAACTGCATAGGCTGATGAGACTTCGGTTGTAGATAAGACTGATGACTGGTCACTGTTTGAAGACTGGGATTTCCAGATTGGCTAGGCTGAGAAGAAAAGTGCTGTTGAATCGGTGGTTGATGGTGATGTCCATGCATTTGAGCCTGTGATTGTGAGGTAGACTGAATCTGAGGGACATGTTGAAGTTGAGAATGTGCCAGAAGCTGAATTTGGGATTCAGCATTTTGTGACCGTGAAGGTGGTTGCTGATGAGGAGGCATTTGCACTAGTGGCTGCGGCTGAACTGTTTGGGCTTGAGCATGGGGCTGAAGCTGAGGCTGTGGATGCAAATGAACATGAGGAGTCGGGTGCAACTGTGCTTGAAACTGAGATTGAGTTTGTTGCTGTAACTCCATTTGTGCTAGATTTTGGGGTTGAGCAGCAACTGGGAGTTGCATCAGCGGTTGTGATTGAGGTTGAGATTGCGGTTGTAATTGTGCCTGAGCCTGAGCCTGCGCCGGAGGGTGTTGAATTGGCAGTTGAGGCGGAACCATCGTTAGAGAATTTGAAGGCTGGGCATACACATGAGGTTGCTGGTACAGTTGAGCAGCCTGCTGTTGATACGGGTTATATTGCTGATATGGATCATACCCAGGATACTGCTGGTAGTATTGCTGATAATGCTGCTGCTGTTGAAACCACTGTTCTGAAGTTGGCATGGAAGCCTGTCCGGCAGCTGGGGTTGACAATGACATGTTGGATTGAATGGTCATTTCTTGTGCAGACGTGGAGGAGGTTTTAGACTGAGAGGCCTGAGATATGGTACTAGTTATAGCAGCCTGAACAGAGACCTGAGAGTTATCATTAGGCTGCACTGCCATAGCAGCAACCTGAGAACCATCGGCACTTAGAGTTTGCAACTGGACACCCTGTAGTTATTAAAAATCAGTACACTAGTCAATAAACTAAGAAAGAAGAGGAAAATAAAATTATTTTCGAATAACTAAAAGGAAGTCACTAAAAGACTCACAGCACAAGTTTGTCCATGTTCTTGGATTTGGCGATGCGCTAATTGAACTCCACACCTATCGCACACAACAGCAGAATTACCAAAGGCGCATCCAGAACAATGAGTTGTGCACTCAGATAGAGAACCCTGCCAAGTGCATCCACTCCTATTGTATAAACAAAGCACTTGTATCTTGCCAATAGTTTCAGCAAGTGATTTGTTTGATTCCAGTAGTGGCTGCAGCATGAATTGCAGAAAAAGAAATTATAATTTAAGTGCATAACATGATCAGAAGAAACAGTACAAATGCTCTATTAGTGTCAAAACGAACCTTGGAATCTGCTTCAGTCACCAAGTAGCCATCGTATGGACAAGCGCGTGTGGTACTCACAACATACTTTAAGCATGCTTTGCAATAAAGGTGAGTACACTGAGATTGTAATGCTTCATTTGGGTAGACAAGCTGACGGCAAATGGGACAGAAATACTCTCCGGCTAGAGATTGAATATTCGGAATGCATTCATTATCGAAACCCATGATCGTAGGACTAATAAGATTAGAGCCCTCCAAGCATTAATACAAAACTCCCGCAGAGCGCATGGACAAGCAAAGAAGTCCGGAGCATGTCATATTACTAATCTAAAGAAAGAAACAAATATAATAAGAAACCAATGGAAATGAAGACAAACTAAAGTTCATTTCATATATTAGCTCCATGACCAAGGCCACCCAGCAAAGATCACATAAAGACTGAACAAAATCGAGGAGGAAGCGTCACAAGATGATTTACCTATGACGTTAGGGTTGAAAGCAAATCATTCAAACAACCAGACATGATAATCGAATTAGGGTTTCAGTTCACATGATCGAGTCACCGGTGACCGATCAACGCGAGTGACCAGCCCTTAACGAGCGAACCAGGCAGCGAAAGGAGTATTTTGGATGACGAAAGTAGGGAATGAGAACAGTAGAAAATGGACGAAACATACCTACCAGACGTCCGAAGCAAGGCGCAGATGAATGGAGGGAGGCCTGGGCCGGCCTCGGAGCAGAATTTACGGCGCCTTTAGGTTTCTCGGGTTGTTTCTCTTAACGGGCTAACAGCCGAAGATGCCGTCTTGGGGGGTTTCACCTCCTCTTGAATCTTGATTTTGTAGTTTATAGGTATGTGGCATCCTATTGGCTATTTGCTACCTATCGTTTACCGGTTTAACAAATTAGTACCTGATTTTTTCTTCATTTTATAGTGGATGGCCACACATTCGAACGAGAAAAATGGAACCGTTATTATTCTCACATTACTATTACTATTAGTTCAACTAACCTTCCAATTTGAATGATATTAGTCATGTGAAGTTGTGTGCTTGGTGTTGGTGGTGAAAGGAACTCGAATAACCAACACCAATTACAACATTAGTTGATTTGTTATACCTGATAGACAAATCTTATAAATTGATATGATACCAATTGCAAGGTTCCAAAACTGGAGAGCGACCAAGGTGACAAATAGAAGCAAAAACATATTACAACCAACTCTTTTCTCGATAAAATTTACTTCCTACAACAAGCCGAGTAGTCCAATATCTCCGCCAGTGTATGCGCATGTACAGCGCCTCAGCCCTCAGTCGTGCATGCTGTCTGATTCAAGAATGGTTGCATGAACCCGGTTGAGAATGTTTATCACAGCTGAGGCGAAGGGATGACTCCAACATCGCCTTACTAACGAAACAAAACTCCGTTCCAAGTTACATTCTCACCTGCCAGTGCTCAAGCTCCGTCGCTCAAGTTGAGTGTCATTTTGATGTTCATGGACGCCAACTCAGAAGCCAGGTACTTAAACACGTATGGCATCGCGACAGTCTCCATGCCCTTGCTTGTCTTGCAAGCCTGGCAGAGCACCTTCTTCGGATTTTGTGGGGGCACTTGTCCGAATCCACCCACCCTCACCATCTTCTTGTGTGGTTGAATGAAGGTGGTAGTCAGAACACTGCCACAGATAGAGCAAACGTCTGCTATGTGGTAATCCGAACAAGTATGCAGCCTGTCATGCAGCAAATATGCGGCTCCATGAGCAATCATAGCATCACGTTCCATTTCTCCGAAACGGATACCACCCCCACGTTTCCTTCCCTTTATCGGCTGCCTTGTGACTTGGTCGACTACTCCTGTTGACCTCACCTGGAAAACAAAGATTTTGATAGCAAGGATCCCTAGTCATGTCTGCAGCTTCAACATAAGGGATAATTATCTATGCAGGAGCTTCCGCATACAGATCATCCAAAAAGGGACCATGCTTTACTGCAAACAATACCTGGAATTTGTCTGAAACCATGTGGCGAAGACGTTGATAGTAGACTGGACCAATGAAGATTTCACAAGTCAACTCTGTGCCATATACCCCACTGTATAGCACCTCCACGCCGTGATAATTGAATCCATGAGACTTTAGTGCTTCCCCAAGATCATCGACGAGAGATTCAGGTTCGGATTTAGTGCATCCTGCATCATCTTTCTTCACCGAACTTGCAAATGGCGTTGCATCCACAAATTTCCCGTTCAAAGCACCACCCTGAAACATGAATGTCGATATTTAATCCATTTGGTACTCTCAGTCAGAAGCTAGACAATCAACTATTGTGATCACAATTCACTTTCCAATTTGTCACATACCTTAGCAGCAAGAGATTCCAAAAGCATTCCTATTGTCATTCTCGAAGGAAATGCATGGGGGTTAATGATTAGATCAGGACGCATGCCAGTAGCACCAGAAAATGGCATATCAATATCAGGCCATAACTGGGAGCAAACACCCTTTTGTCCATGCCTGCTGCTAAATTTGTCACCGATGATTGGGTTTCTTGGATGGCGAAAACGAATGTTTGCCTGTTCATGAAACAACACACTCAGTACGTGTAACTGAATACTGAAAGTACTCTATGAGAAAGGCAATTCGAATTGACTCGTTTTAATTGCCCCGTTTATAAAATGGGACAATTGTCTCATTTCTAGATTGATCCATCCTAACGACCCCTAAGAATCAACCAGTACAACAGTAATTTGGATCCAACTGTATACACTAACCTTCTGAAGCTTCTTCTTCTTTGTATCCACAGCAACATAGTCAACAACCACGGTTTCTGAACCCTTTCGCTTAAAGACTCTTGTTTTGGGTTCTATTGTATTACCGAAGCTACAATAAGGCTCATCCGGTTGCAATATCTGGCATAATATATGTTGGTCATTAAAATTATGGATAGAAGTAATTAATACCCGTGACAGACCAAAAATAAAAAAATAATAAGGACCAACCTGACCAACATATGGAAGTCCATCCACATCAAGGGATTTAGGACCTTTGCTACTTCTCATAAACATCTGACCTGCTGTCCTATCCTCAGTCAAATCCACAGTTTCAGTCTGCATTGAAACAGGTAAAGCAGTATGACCAATGACTGAAAGTCAACAACACCCAGAATACAGGCCAATGCAGAAATCCATTCTAAACAAAGTACTTCAGGGCGTGTTGGGTTCGGTATAGTTGTAAATTGATATTAATCGTCTCGACTGCATACTATATGAAATGTATTTTCAAAACCACTGTCTGATTCAGTGCATTTGTGCAAGAAATTGTGCCAAAAGAATGAAAAGACATGTGGGCTCTCCAATTTCATAGAGTGCATTTCAGATATTGTACTTCAAATTGCAGTAGTTTGATGCATTTGAAGTGTCAACGAAAAGTGATACATTCGCCTAATTGCATGCTATTGCAAATGTTGTCCTCCCAAATGTACACAATCAAACAACCTCTTAAGAATGTGTTACTCTTCTGTATGCCGTCTGCAAACCTCATTGATTTGATATTGTTATGGCAACTCTTAAAGTAGCAGAAATAACAACAGACAGCACAAGAATAGATAAAAGAAACAGGATAACAAAGTGGGAACCAGCAGTGAGAAAACCACTCATATCCAGAACTGTGATATTTAGGAGGCATGAAAGCAACAAATTTATATTGTGGGCCTCAAAGTCAAACATCTAAGCAAAACCTGGTAGATTGTTCCATGACACATTCCACGTTCTACAGAAGACTTGTTGAGAATCATGGCATCCTCCATATCGTATCTGTGTAGGTAAGTATGTTAGCTAATCGCAATCCATTTGATGGAAAACAATTTGAACTGTTCATCAAGTTATTTACCCTGTGTAAGCAAGAACGGCAACTATTGCATTCGTCCCTGTGGGATACTCATCAATACAGTACTTGGCATATGTACTTGTACGTACAATTGGAGTTTGAGGGGTCTGCAAAATATTCAGAGGTCGTCACTAAAGCAGAGTAAGCGAAAGAAAAAAAAGCGCCAAGATGTGAGATCTACCGTCCAAGAAAGTAAACTGAGAGAAGCAAAAACTTCTGCTCAAGCTCAACAAAATAACTTAAGCTGCTATTCCTTCTTATTGAGTATTACATCAGGAGTCTGTCTAAGAACAATTAAGATCCAGCAGAAAACTTCTCGGTCGTTCTTGGACTATGGAACAAGCACCTTCCCCAGTAGTTGAATTGTGACACCAACTCACTCATACATGATAAGGATCACCCTAACTTTGAACCATTAACCCATACCCTGAATGTACTGGCCATAAAGGGTCTATTATCCGAATGGGGAAAGCCTAGGTAGTTAGATGCACAGGACATAGATAAACCCACAAAAAGTTTCCTTTGTGTTTTTCTTCTCCCTTATACTATCTTTAAAGAACATGGAGCAAGTGTTTTAAACATGGCTCAAGGTTAACCTAAAAAGACTTCCCCACATAAAATGCATTCTATATGGGCTATCATCGTTCCAAACATAGGGCTAATTGTGATAGCCACCTAAACCTCTTCTACAAATGAAGAGCATCAGATTTCAATAAGCAACCCTTTCGTTCAAAAATTAATTCTAACTCGGTCGACAAATCCAATTGAGAAAGAAAGATATGCTCTCGCCACGTGTGAAATTTCATAGAAACTCCCCGGAATAATTTTTTAACTTCAAAGTCAGGAGCAATATAAGATATTGCCACAAACTGTACCTGAAGATGATATAGCTTCTGATCTGCACGGAAGCGTAGAGCCTGCAAAGAATATCCCATTGTTTGTTTGGCCATCTGTCATAGACAAAACATGTTGGAACATCAGATGCACGACCACTTAGCAGGACAGGGACAGAGGCCAAAAGAAAATTCCTAATAACCTGACACTGGTACATGTTTCGTGGGCTCTGATTATGATCGGACCAAGGAGTGAGATTAGCAACAACACTAAGCATTGCAGTGGGATGAATTTCTTCATGGGTCGCTGGAAACGCATCATTCCGGCCACCATTTCCACCATCTGGGCATCTTATTTCCATGAAAACCTAATGTGATATGAAACAAGCAAGTCAGCTCCCTAGAACTCCTAGCTATATCATACAGGGTCATGATATCTGGTATTTACCTGCTCAAATGGTCCAATAAGTTCAATGTCTCGACCATCCTCTGGAGGAATAGTAATATTTCTAACAGGGCGGACAAATCTGGAAGGAGAAGTGAATAGGAACAGACCAGGGTACGCCCCACCCATGCTTAGAGGAACATACCCCACTTCAAGATCATTTGGGATCTGTACCAAATCTTATGTCAGGAAAAACTAAAGCAACTGTCAGACAGAAAGAGATTGCGAGAGTTTCTAGAAGACGAACCATTGAAGCAGCCGACACTTTCAATCTTCTTAACTTACTAACGACTTTCTCAACTTCACTTGAACGTATTGAACCAACAACCCGGCCATCTAACAGAACAGAAAGAGCTTGGGGTGGGCCGCTTGCAGCAAGCCTGGGGAATGAAGGGGCCATTCCAAGTCCAGACAGAACTCCAAGAATAGACTTTCTTATTTCAAAGAAGTCCTTAACACCCCCTTGTGGATCAAAGAAGGATGTCACCCCTGACATACCAAAATAATCACTTTTAAGGACCACTACATACAACAGAAACAACTAGAAGGCCAGTATAAAGTATCTTAGTAAAACTCAATCGATGACAAAACCCCATTGTTGATTCCATAAGCCACATTCAATTGTTATGTTGCCTAA